AAATAATTAACAATGTTTGAGGTTAAGTTGTAACGATCAGTAACCTAACCTAGAATTTCTTTTATTTTCGCGTGAATTAAAATTATTATAAAATCATAAATTTTTAATTAAGAAAAGATAAAAGAAGAAAAAAATGAATTTAAAAAAATAATTAATTTAAATACATGAATATAAACACATTAAAAATAATGAAAGCTATTAGTCATTATTTTCAGTTCATTTATTTTCTCATGTACGATTATTTTCGCAATATGTAATATAATAACATTTTTATATTTTGAAAATAAAATAAAAAAATAAAAACAAAATAAATTTTTTCATTTATAAATTCTTTTAAACCATGTGTAACATTAAAACATAAAATATATTTCACTCCAATTACTATTTTTTCCTTTTACATTCTGCTTTCTTTCTTTTCACTTTTTTTTTTATCTCTAATTGATTAAAATATATACATTGCAAGAACAAATTATTATATGTACATACATATACGCGCGCGCGCGCGCGTGCGCACACATAAATGCACACACCACATATGCATGTACACACACTTTTTTTAATATAAATACTATAAATTAAAATTTTGACTCACCAGGTATTTTTCATTGTTAGACACTTGATTAAATACTGTCAAACACTTCACTAAATGTACAAAACACGGATATTTCTTAATAACTGTTAACTTGTCATACACTGTCTTCTAGAATTTTTAATTCCCTTCTTTCTATAATTTAACAAAATCACACAATTTTCAGCACTTATCTTTTCTCAAGATTCTTAAATCGCCGTAAAAAACGTGCTTGACACCTTTTTCTTTGGTAATCAACAAAGTGTACGATAATGAAAAAATAAACAGATCGTGATCATAAAATTAAATATTAACTATATTTATAATAAAATTCCTATCAGAGAAGACATTAAAAAATTTTCTTGAAATAAGTTCATATGATTTTCACGCCCTTCAAGTGCCGACCATATTTCACACGTGGACACTTGTATCTTTTCGTGAATATGAGCGGTTAAAATGTCGGACTCCCACGCCACCACTTTCAGACAATTACACGTAACGGTTGACACTATAAAAACACCATATCAATGACACTATGTGCACAGTACACTATAGCACAATTATTTCAAATTATCACCGTTATAAAAGAACATCGAAAGAACGAGAAACAGCATGCGTATCACGATCACTCCGTTCATTCGTTCGACTAGTCACCTGTTACAAGTAGACAGATTGACCCTTTTCCTAATTAAATTTTTACTTTTTTTTTCATGTTAGATAAATATTATCATCGAAGTATAATACACTTCTGATACACTTCTGAGTATTCGCATCTTTATTGCAAAAAGCGGTAGCGTATTCTTTATTAAGCACAGAACACTAAAGAATAATGAACGTAAGCACGAGGAAAGATGAAAAAAGTCAATGGCTACCGTTTGTTTTCTTTCATTCGTTCGTTTGCTTGTTCGTTCAACTGCGAATACGTTGAATCGGGCTTAATCGGGTCAAATCGGCTCAATTCAGGTTATGGCCATCGAGGAGTCGGGCATGCTTTGCATGACGCGGCCCGACGACAGGTATATCACGTGGTTCGTCGCGTCCTTTCTCAGTCGCAACGTCACTGATATAGTTCTGTGGCGATCCTCCTACACTTGCCACCAGAGGGATTCACACTAAAAACAAAATTCTCGCAAAACACTCGTTTAACTATCCTTTTTTAAAAATATATCTTCTGAACTGTCTACGAATTCTTACATCTAAGGTACGAGCCTGTCCTTTTAATAGGTATTGTCAAATTTAATAGTAGTTTCAGGATAAAAAATGCTGCATCACTTTATTTTTTTATTTTTCTATACCTTTAATTTTTTTTTTTTTAATTTTTTTTACTTTTTTAATATTACAGTATTATAAATTCATGATTTTAAATGAATAAAAGAATTGTGTTTTTAGCAAATCCCTCTAGTGGCAAATGTAGAAGGAGGAGGACCGCCACAGTTCTTTTCAGTTTGACTCGCTCGAGACACACACTAAGTAAGTCAGTGTTCAGAGCTTGTCGATGACAATGAATTAAGCGCTCCAACGTGTCTCTGGATTATTGGTATGATTGAAACATACACTATAGGGTAATTCTCTTGCTACTTGTTTCAAAGATAATGCCACCGATCACACCACAGCGATAACGTAACGTTTCAGTATATATAATTTGTCAGACTGATCTTTGCTATGATATCAAAGAATGATATCGAGATAGCTGTGTATATATATATATATATATATATATATATATATATATATATATATA